GAAGAATCAAAGCATCACCACTCTCAGTTAACTATTTTATATTTATTTTTAATGTGTTTTTATTGATTTTTAAAAATCTTTAAAAAGATTTACATATGTCCCCTTTTTTTCCATTGACTTCTTTTAGCACTCCCCCTCCCACTCCATGACAAGCCTTCACCACCCTATTGTCTGTGTCTGTGGGTTATGCATATATGCATACAAGTTCTTCAGTTGATCTCTTCCTACCCACTCCCACCTTCCCTCTGAGATTCGACAGTCTGTTCCATGTTTCTATGTCTCTGGATCTATTTTGTTCATCAATTTATTTTATTCATTAGATTCCACATATGAGTGAGATCATGTGATACTCGTCTTTCTCTGCCTGGCTTATTTTGCTTAGATTTTTAGAGAGAGGGGAGGGGAGAGGGATAGATAGAGAGAGAAACATTGATGAGAGAGAAACATCATCGACCTGCTGCCTCCTGCATGCTCCCCACTGGGGATCAAGCCCACAACCTGGGCATGTGTCCTGACCAGGAATAAAACCAGTGACCTCTTGGTTCCTGGATTGATGCTCAACTCCTGAGCCACACCAGCTGGGCACAATTAACTATTTTGTTTCCTTCTTTCAGCTGCTCAAAGGCAAGATAATCTGATTTGTTCCACCTTGTAAACTTCTTTTTGTAAGCATCTCACACTTAGGAAAATTGCCTGTTTTTCCTAACTAACTAATGATTTTGCTGTTTAATAGCAACAACTTTTAAATCCTATTCATCCAGGAAACGTTTATTTAGGAGATCAATGGAGGTACAAGGGAAAAACAAAATGAGTAAGATATAGTCCCTGCTTATAAGGGTTCATAAGAATCTGTTCATTAAATGCTGGCTTTTAGGTGGTTCAGCAATAATTTCAGTGAAAAGCTTGTGGTAAGAGCTAATTAGCTCATAGAGTAATGAAATGATTCTTTTCTCAAATGCTTTAAATAACTATCAGACCTGAAATTTCGAGCAGAAGCTGCTCTTAGTGGGGAGTTCCGGGAGCAAGCATCAAGCTGTTTTTTTCTCCCTTGATGTGTAGTTAGAAGCTTGTTGTCAGACCAGCAGCATGGGCCTCTCCAGGGAGCATGTTAGAAATGCAGATTCTCAGCCATCCCCTCTACCCCGCCTCTGACCTGCTCAGTTAGGGTGTGCATCCAGAACCTCGGGTTCTTCCTGTGCACACTTCCTTTGAGAAGCACTGGCCTAATACAGAATTTCTCTAGCTCAACTTGGTATATACAGATCTTCTGAGGTGTTTTTTTTTCCACTTTTAAAAAATTTTATTTATTGATTTTTAGTGAGAGAAATGTCAACTTGTTGTTCTACTTATTGACCCATTCATTGGTTGATTCTTTTAAAAAAAATTTAATGATGAGAGTATTACAGATGACCACTTTTTCCCCCCATTTGCCTCCTCCACCTGGTTCCTTCCCCACCCCAGGCCTTCACCACCCTAGTGTCTGTGTCCACAGGTAATGCATATATGCATATAAGATCTTTGATTAATCTCTTCCTGCCCCCTGTCCCCGCTTTCCTCTGATATTCATCAGTCTGTTCCATGTTTGCCTGCCTTTGGTTCTATTTTATTCATCCATTTATTTTGTTCATTAGATACCTTATTCGTTTATTTTGATTTTTAGATTCAATTGTTGATAGATATGTATTTAGTGCTATTTTATTTTTCTTCCTAAAGAATACCCGTCAACATTTCATGTAATACTGGTTTGGTGGTAATGAACTCCTTTAACTTTTTTTTGTCTGTGAAGCTCTTTATCTGACCTTCAATTCTAAATGATAGCTTTGCTGGGTAAAGTAATCTTGGTTGTATGTCCTTGCTATTCATCGCTTTGAATATATCTTGCCACTCCCTTCTGGTCTGCAAAGTTTCTGTTGAGAAATCAGTTGATAGTTGTATGGGTGCTCCCTTGTAGGTAACTGCTTTTCTTTTGCTGCCTTTAAGATTCTCTCTTTGTCTTTAACCCTTGGCTTTTTACTTATGATGTGTCTTGGTGTGGGACTCCTTGGGTTTCTCTTGTTTGGGACTTTCTTTGCTTCCTGCACTTATAAGTCTATTTCTCTCACCAGGTAGGGGAAGTTTTCTGTCATTATTCTTCAAATAGGTTTTCAATATCTTGCTCTCTCTCTTCTTCTGGCACCTCTATAATTCGGATGTTGGTATACTTGAAGTTGTCCCAGAGCTCCTCACATTATGTTCATAATTTTGGATCCTTTTTTCTTTTTGTTCTTCTGATTGGGTGTTTTTTGCTTCCTAATATTCCAAATTGTTGATTTGATTCTCAGAATCCTCTACTCTATTTTTGAATCCCTGTAAATTATTCTTAATTTCTGACTGGTCCTTTTTCATGTCTTTGACATTCTCATTAAAATCCTTGAAAGTCTCACCAAGTCCCTTGAAGCTCTCATTAATTCCCTTGAAGGTCTCATTAATTTGCTTGAAGCACTCATTAAGATCATTGAGCAATCTTTTAACCATTGTTTTGAACTCTGTATCCATTATTTTGCTTGCTTACATTTCATTTATTTCTCTTTCTGGAGGTTTCTTCTGTTCTTTTATTTGTGACATGTTTCTTTGTCTCCACATTTTGGCTGCTTTCCTGTGTTTGTTTCTGTGTATTAGGTAGAGCTGTTATGTCTTCTGGAATTGGTAGAGTGGCCTTGTGTAGTAGGTGTCCTGTAGGGCCTAGTGGCTCAGCCTCCTCAGTCACTGGAGCTGGACACTATAGGTGCACCCCTGTGTTGGTTGTGTGCACAGTCTTGTTGTAATTGAGCTGTAATTACTTTTGGTGTCACTAGAAGCAGTTGACCTCCAGGCCAATTGGCTGTGAGGACCCACTGTGACTACAGTGGAAGAGCTGCTGTGTAGAGGACACCCATATGGAGCAGGAATTGCTTTAGTGGGGCTTTGTGCTCACTGAGTCTGCCCCTTGAGTGTGTCACTTGTGAATGTGTAGAGTTATAATCTGGTCTGGTCTGCACTGGCTCTGGGGCCTCCTGGGAGGTGCAAAGTCAGCCACTGCCTGGGGCTACCCTGCACAAGCTACGGAGTGATCTGCAGATGGCTGCTACTTGTGTTGGGCTTAAAAAAACCCAGGTGAATCCAAGCTGTGAAGCAAGGCAGGCTGTTGCAAGTGCCAGGTCTTGGGCCTCTTATTGATAGTTATGGGGCATGCTGATGCCAGCTGCTACTTGTTTGAGAGATTTTAGGAAAGTCTGGAGCCTGATCCAGGACAGGCCATTCATATGGGAAAGCTGTTGCAAACAGGTTGGGTGGGGCTGCAAGTTGGATGGGGCAGGGTCTCAGGGAATCACCAGGGTGGAGTGAACAGTGTGAGCCATGTTGATAGAAATGTAGATGTGACAGGGATAATGACCCCTGTGAGCACCTCCATCTGGGAGAAAGCTGCCTCCAGGTTCCTGCCCCATATGTCCCTGGTTCCCCTAGTACCGCTGACCCGCGCTAGAGCTCAGAGGGAGCAGGACTTTGTAAGTTCATACGCCAGCCCTTTAAGAGGGACTGTCTGGGTCTTCAGCAGCCTCTGTGTCACTCAACTACCATCCCACTGGCTTTTACAGCTCCAAGTTATGGAGGCTTCTCTTCCCAGCTCTGAAACACTTGGCTGGAGGTCTGGTGTGGGGCTGGGACTCCCTTTCACAGGAGGTCTCTGCAGTGGAGAGAGCCCTCCCAATTAAAGCAAGCCACACATGGGTGTCAGACTAGTTAGTTCTGTGCCTCCACCCCTCCTACTGGTCTGGATGTACTTTCTTCTTTACTTCTCTAGTTGTAGGACTTCCATCAGCCAGCTTTCAGGTGGTTCTGAATGATGGTTGTTCTGTATTTTAGTTGTAATTTTGATGTGGTTGTGAGTACCGGCATTTACCTATACCGCCATCTTTGTTACATCTGAGAATTTTATTAAAGCGATTCCTGGCCCTGCCCTTACACACTCTGATTCTGTCTGACAGGGAGAGCTTGAAAATTTGCTTTCCAACAAGCTCCCAGGAGATGCTAGTGCTGCCTATTTGGAAGCCACACTTTCAGCAGCATCTGTCTAGTTTCCTTGAGGTACTGAATTGACATTGGTAGTGTTGGTCACAATGAGGGGTCAGTCTGGTTTTCCTTTGCCTACACTGGAGTCATGAACTTTACAATGAAACATCTGGAACATCTCACTATGTATGTGTGGATGGCTTTGCATGCAATGAACTGTTTAGGCCAGTCTCTGACACCATTGGAAAACTACAGAAGAGGGAGAATTAAATTCGTCCTGCAAGTTAATGGGATTTTGACATGTTTGACCCATTTTTGAGATTCATATGAATAAATGCAAGGAGGCTGGGATACATGTGAAACAATAGTAGTTAATCTAGTATTGCTACATTGGAGAGGTCTAGAGCTTCATGAATGAATGAAGGGGAGCAGAAAGTAGGGGGGAAATAGGCCTGGGAACAAGTTAGAGACAAGATTGTGAGGAGTCTTAAATGTTAAGGAGTTTGCATTATATTAAATAACAGAAATTCAACTGAATAAATTTTAAAGATCTAATTGGCTTTATTGAGCAGGTCATGAATTGGGCAGCATCTCATTATCAAGCAGAAAGGAGCTCTGAGGAGGTGTATAAAATGGAAGGATTTTATAGGCAGAAGGGAAAAATAATGGGTTGTGTCAGACTTAGTTAATCTATTTATGGAGGACAGAAGGGGGCTATGTAGCAAATTCACTCTTGTGTCAACCAGAAAATTCCAGACTGGCCAGTTAATATTTCATACCTGTGGGTATAACTGCAATTAGATTAGGTTTTAAGTCTTGGTTTTCTGATGTGGGGCTTAGCACAAGTGACTCCATTTTGACCCTGTTCTTCTTGTTAACATTTAGAACTTTATGCTATAATGACATTTGTTTTTAAAAGTTTTCATGTCTCGTACTTATTATTCTCTGTGTGTGTTTCATTGTTCTTTCAGGATTAAGCATGAAAATATTGTTGCCCTGGAAGACATTTATGAAAGCCCAAATCACTTGTACTTGGTCATGCAACTGTAAGTACCTTTTTAAATTGATGAGTGTGGACCAGGGGTTGCAAATTCAAATGCTTAAGGGACCAGCTGGTAAAATTACCTGATGTAGTGGGCCAGGTAAGACAGTAGGGAGTGATTCGGGCTGTGAGACACTGGAGATGTCTGTACCCAACTGGAGACAGTTGGCCGAGCACAGGAGGCTGCAGCCTCACTTGATCTCAGCTGTGACTGCTGGACTGGACTGATAATCGGAAGTTTCCACAATGTGACTTGATGCTATCATTGCAGAGTGCGCCTACAATGGCTGCTTTGCTTTTTAATGTGCAAGGTCCAAATGTTGCTTCCTGAAAAACACTTCTGTGGGCCCATTGTGACATACACTCTGCTCTTGTCTCTAGGAGGAACTCCCACCCTTGTCCTCATTGCTAGGGCAGCCGGGAGAGGGAGCCGCAGATGGCAGCTGTGTGCTATGTCCCTTCCCTCTGCTCCTCTGCTGCCAAATAAGCACACATGTGACTGAACGGGAGTTCACGCCAGAATAAGAAAGTATAACTGGAGTTGGACCTTGCCACCATTGCCCCAGGGTAGTCTTTCTGCATTCTAGTAACACCAGAGATTTCCAGACGAGGGAGGAAAGGAGAAAGCTAAATATCAGGTAGCAACTGTACTCAAACATGTATTTTTTTAAATATAAGGTGCAATTAGCCTCCCCTTCACACAAAGGCTTCACTCTAAGTGATATAATTCCTAGGAGTAGTCCAGGACTATTAGAATTAAGTGATGGAAACTGTGTAAGAGTGTTATACTTTAACCATGACCCCAGAAAGTAAATTCTGAAACACCATACTAGTATTATTGAGCTGAGTGACTGAAAAGGACTTTTGTTGAAGGTCAGAATATGTACTTATTATATTTATGATTTTCAGACTTTCAATTACCAAAGCTATTTAGGAGACTTGAGGGTTAGTCTACCTAACAATTTATTTTTATCTATTCTCATTTTTTTCCTTATGAATGTTTAAACAACACCTTAACTAGAGATGGTGGTGGTGACCAGCAGTTTTACAGATTTGTGAATGATTGTCAGCCATGAGCCTGGCAGTGTGGCGGTTTTGACTGCGGTTTTCATGCCAACTCCCAGCTGCCTAAATGCAGTCTTTCCTAGTCCTTTGCTGTCCTGTTGGTTTTACCGTTTGCCACATTTCTGGTTCTTCCTAGAAGCTGGTAGCTCCCCAATCTGGGGACATTCCCTAGAAGCTCATGTGACTTTATTTTGCAGAATCTGCTCTTAAAGAAACAGATGAATCAATTTCCCACCAAATATTGATTTCCCAGTAGGAAGAATATGACATTCTAGTGACAAGAAAAAGCCGCACAAAATGTCAGTAGTGTATTTAAATATGTGCTTTTTTATTAGTGATGCAGAAAAAAAGATTTAATACTTTAGTTCTCTGTTGGAACTTTCACTTAAACCAGTTAAAAAGTACTCCAAATATATAAATCTCAGTCCTGCCTCTTATTAGGTAGGTGAATTTGGGCAAATAACTGTACTTCTCTGAATATCAGTTTCCTTAAATGGAAAAAATGGGGATAACAGTCATATTTATATTAGTGGGCTGTGGTGAGTATTGAATGAGAGAAATCCATATCATTTCATCAGTATGTCTCTGCAGATAAAGTTGTAAGTTGAACTATTGTAGGTTGTGGACCATCTGTATCCTTACCAGCAGAAGTTTATGTGAAGATCGGTTGGCTTGAGAGCATATGAGAGTTTGGAACAGAATGAACCTTAGAACAAAGTTTGAATGTCGCACTGTCAGCACAGCTGTCCCATCCCTCACCGAGCTTTCTATCAGGCTTTCCACTTTTTTACAATTATTCTTAATATAGACCGCACTTATTCAGAGTTTGTACTCATGCAGAGAGGAGTGGGACTGGAATGAACTCTCGGGGGCACTGGCTGAGGTTTGTCAGGCAAATTAATCACAAAATCCGTATCTAGGGGCAGTGTTTGAAGTACCTAAGGAAAAAAACTACGTGCACTGTTAAACATTTTAAACGCACTATTCACATAAACACTGGATATGCTAATTATATACTTAACTGGTATGAATTCTTTTTCATTGGTTCTCATTACTTTATTAAAAAATCAGCTTTATTGAGTTATAATTTGCATACAATTAACTGCACCCATTTAACTGAACAATTCAGTGATGAATGTGAGAGAATCATGCCCAGGAAGCCACCACCATGATCAAGAACAGGAAATTTCCCAGAGATTCCTCGTGGTCATTTCAAGTTGTCCCTCCCTCGCCTCTGATCCCAGCCAACCAGTGGTCCACTTTCACTCAGTAGAGAGTCTTTTGCATTTTCTAAAATCGTGTATACATGGGATTATATAGCAGGTACATGTTTGTGTCTGGTTTATGTTACTCGTCATGGTTATTGGCATTCATCCATGTAGTAATGTGGATCAGTCGTTTCTTCCTTCGTTTTACTGAGCAGGATTCCCTTGTTCTGGAAAGTTCTCATTTTATTCACTTACCTGTTGGAGACATTTGGGTTGTGTCCAGTTTGGGCGCTATTATGAATAAAGTTGCTATGAACATTCATGTCCAAGCCTTGCTGTGGGTGTATGTTTGGGTGAAGACCTAGTAGTAGAATGAGTGGGCTACAGAGGAGGTGTTATTTTGAACTTTCTAATAAACTGCCAGACAGTTGTCCAGAGTGGTTTTACCATTTTACATTTTCACCTGCAGTGTGAGTTCCAATTCTTTACATTCTTTCCAACACTTGACGTTTCCAGTTTTTTTCAATTGTAGCCATTTTAATGGGAGTGCAGTGGTATCTCATACTGGTTTGAATTTGCATTTCCCTGATGATTCATGATGTCAATCATCTTTTTATGTCCTCATGGGCCACTACTATATCTTCCATTCAAATCCCTTACTGAGTTTTGATTGGATTGTTCACCATCATATTATGTGTTGGAAGTGTTCTTTATATATTCTGTTCTTTGTGGATATATGTAAATGAATATTTGCTTTCATTCTATAGCTTGCTTGTGGAGGCGGGAGAGGCTTCCACCACCGCCACTGCGCTTGCCTGCCGTGAGCCCAGCTTCTGGCTGAGCGGCGCTACCCCTGTGGGAGTGCACTGACCACCAGGGGGAAGCTCCTGCATTGAACATCTGCCCCTTAGTGGTCAATCTGCGTCTTCCTCGACCGATAGTTCCACCATTCAGTCAATTTGCATATTAGCCTTTTATTATATAGGACTAGTAGCCCTGCACATGAATCTGTGCGCCAGTAGGTCATTGCTGCCCTCCTGTAGCTCTCCGCCTGCTGCCCCACCCTCCTGTATTTCCCCCCACCTCCTCCCATAGCTCCCCCCCCCCCCATAGCTCTCTGCAGCCCACTTGTACCTCGCTGGCCCACCCTCCTGCTGATCCGTGATCTCCTGAAGTGCTTGGTCGTTATACCTCAGGGCGTAACAGCTAATTAGCATATTCCTCTCTTATATAGGATACTTTTTAAAAAATATATTTTTATTGATTTCAGATAGGAAGGGAGAGGGAGAGAAGAGATAGAAACAACAATGATGAGAGAGAATCATTGATTGGCTGCCTCCTGCACACCCCACACTGGGGATCAAGCCCACAACTCAGGCATATGCAAGTTCTTTGGAAGAAAAGACTAGCTATTTTAGGTAACAAACCTTTGGAAAAGGTCCTCAAAGGAAGTAGCTGAATTTTTAAAAGACTTTCCTGAGTATAATAGGAGATTATTGATTCATGTGTCTAAATGCTAAAAATCATGCAAATAATGGGATTTTTTGAAAATAATTTTAAATGACTGCTTATTTTAAAAATCACAGTATGTATTTAATAAGTTTCTGTAGCCACAGTGTGTAAAAACAATGTGATCTGTCAGCTTGTGTAAATATATATTATATATATATCCCTGTTGGTGATCCTTAGAATGAAAAGGAAAAACGAAGTATATATTGAGAAGAAGTTGGGAGTTGGGAGAAACTTTTTCCAATCATTGTCCTTTTTAATTCTTTATTTTTTTTAAATATATTTTATTAATTTTTTACAGAGAGGAAGGGAGAGAGATAGAGAGTTAGAAACATTGATGAGAGAGAAACATCGATCAGCTGCCTCCTGCACACCTCCTACTGGGGATGTGCCTGCAAGCAAGGTACATGCCCTTGACCGGAATCGAACCTGGGACCCTTCAGTCCGCAGGCCGACACTCTATCCACTGAGCCAAACCGGTTTCGGCTTTTTAATTCTTTATTATCTCTTTTTGATGTCAAGCTCTCCAATCTATGAAAATATAGTTAACCCTGAATAAGTTACCCTTTCCTACATAAATGGAGCAAACATTTATCTAGGGTGGTTAATTTATAATATCCAGATAGAAATGGGAGCGAAGCCGCTGCCTCCTGAGATTCCAGCCAGGTCTGTAACTGAATGATGGCTTTCAAGGGCTCCTAAAGAGTTAAGCCTTGTCATCCACATTTTATATTAAAACACTCCACTGTCCTAGGACTAACTCCACTGTGCTAGGACTCTGCCCTTTAGTGTAGGGATGTGTTAGAACTATGTAAAAACCCCAGGCACGCCTGAGTTTTAGCATCTTTTACAAAGACTCAGTGCTGAGGGGTTGTCCCTCTCACATTTGGAGGAGCCACCTGAAATCAGCAATAACTACAGTATTAACTTTGCTCAAATGTCTGCCTTCCCAAGACATGCCACTTGCTTAACTGATAGTGAGCTGACCCAGGCCCCTCACAAAAGCCTGGGTTGTTGATCGTCTGTTCCCAGGAATAGTTCTACAGCCACTGAATTATGCACATTTCTGTTGAGAGAGGTCACTGCAGGTCCCAGCAGTGACTCACTTTCTCCACCTTCTCCCTGTTCTCAACCATCCTGGGCTTGATAGAAAGAGAGGGAATGACATTTTTGAATGTCAGAAACAAAGTCATGAAATAGTTGGGACTGGAGAGTGTGCAGA